GGGTAAAGGCCCTTTTATCTTTCTCTCTATTAGAAAAAAAGACTGATGCACGAGAATGAATGAATGAACTACGTACTAACAGCTGTCTGTGTGCTGGTGAGAGATTGGCGTGAGTCTGTGACTTATCGAAGAGCCTCCGTTCGATTACTCCATCTTGCACGACTCGTCGCGCATACTGCGAGAACTACGACTGTTCGAAAGGTCTCACACATACATCAGCGTGAAGTTGTAAACAGTCTCCCTCATGCCCATGCATCCCCAATCACCATCATTATCTGCACTTGATCATCACGTCCAATTGCAACTCCATAACCTCTCATTATGCATACACAATCTGCCTCCTCAACCCTGAACAACGAAATCCGGAAAATTCTTCCTTCCACATGTTCATGCATGTGCAAGGAAATCGCCACTGACGTTCCTTCCAGAAGGTGCTAGCCACTGTCCGTCAAAAACCAGTCTGCTCCATGCAACACCAGTCACATTTGCCTCCAAATGTCACTGATGACTCCCATCGTAAGGCACAGGCAACTCCAGCCAATTTTCCTTTTCCAGAAAGCTTCCTTCAAGCATTTATCAGCAGATATCAAGAGTGCACCTTATTCAAGAGCAGATATCAAGAGTGCACCTAATCCAAGCATGCTCACTGGCCTAACTATCCGAGAAGATTTGTGGTTCAAATCAACATCTAAGCGACAGCCTCACCAAGTCAAATGAAATTAGACACTTACCTGAAGCTCAGGCACAAACAGCTCCCGATTGTCATCCAAGAGGCGGTTGAGTGCCTCGAGCACATCCGATGGAGCCTGCCACATGAACAAACAGCACCATCATCGACATTTGTTAAGATTCACACACTTGGGTTCTGCAACAGGCTCTGTGGAGAACACTTTTTAAAATCTGTTTTGGCCACTTTTGAGGGACAGGTACATGCACCTATCTTTCACTGGTATGAGGCTACTAGCCTGCCACATGAACAATCAGCACCAGCATCGACATTGGTTCGTAGCCTGCCACATAAACAATCAGCACCAGCATCAACATTGGTTAAGATTCACACACTTGGGTTCTGCAACAGGCTCTGTGGAGAACCCTTTTTGAAATCTGTTTTGGCCACTTTTGAGGGACAGGTACATGCACCTATCTTTCGTTGGTATGAGGCTTTATGCTCATTCACTGGTATGAGGTCGGATGGGAAAAGGCACCAGTGGAAGAGTGAAGATAAGATCCGACATGCCAATCAGGTAAGGGAAAGCTTTTTGCCCACTCTGCGGATGTCTGGCATTGCGGAGACTCTTGATGAAGGTGTGCACAAAGGGCAAATGAAGATGAGAAGGTATGGGGTGAGGGTAAAGGAAGGCGATATGCGAGTTGAAGGTGGAGAAGCAGACGTTTCCTGTCGAGAATAGTAGTAGTACAGTGAGGGAAGGCCAATACCCTCACAAGAAGGTGGAAGGTCAACCTCCTGAAGAGGCCCGGTGTGGCATACTGATACCACACGGGCCCCAGTTAGGGCCCGGTTCTGTAGTAGGCACGTTTTAGGCCTAGTGTGGCATACTGCGTAGCCACACGGGCCCTACAGGGCCCGTCCCAGACAGTCAGCCTAAAAGCCTAAAACTTAGGGCTTACAGGCCCCGGAGACGTTTCAGTCTGACAACCGAGTTCAGGCCCTACAGGCCCTAAAACGGTTCCCAGACTGAAGCCTAAAACTTAGGGCTTACAGGCCCCGGAGACATTTCAGCCTGACAACCGAGTTCAGGCCCTACAGGCCCTAAAAAC